ACGCATGCGCAAGAGCATCTGCTATTGTACTACTGTGTTAGCTCTGTGTAATGTAAAGGTTAAATTTTACTGCTGTTAGGTTAATATTGTCTGCTCCTTACGCTGCTATATTTCAAAGCCATTCATTCATCAAATCATCGGATTTCAATGTAGTTACAGGGATATTACAGTAACTAGCTACAAAATCATGCAACAATATGACTGTTATAACAAAAACTTATCAATCACTAAAAAATTATTATGATATTAAAAATAGTTTTTTAATTGTAGTAGTTAATTAAAAAGTTGTATTCCTTTTTAGATAAGTAGAATCACAAATTGTTTATACGTTTTTTATCTACATTTTTAAGTTTTATAAGCATATCTCATCAAGACTAGCACAAATTATTCAGATATAAATTAATAACGAAACTAGTCATATCGTCAAGTAAATCTATACCAGTACATATTGCCATGTGACGACACACTTAGTAACATACTAATCCAGGCATACACAACTGCTTGTCGATGCTCTCTTTGTCTCAGTTACTCACAATTTTCCCCTCTACGCGATGGTATTTTTATTTTTATCCAGCTTCTTACCGTATACAAGATAACATTTTTTGTCATTGTTTTTAGGTGATCTCATCCCTTATGTTCTTGGCAGACAATACCTTTAAAGATTAGTATGCAAAGTTTAATTGAGTATGAGGTTTTTATAGTATTTTAATGGCTAAGGTTTTATTTTATATTAGGAACACTTTCTGTTTGCACACTAACATAGTATTAATAAATATCTTGCAAGATTTAGTGTTAATAATAATCAACAAGTAATAACGGCTTATAACAAAATGTTCACAAGAGCCATTACGAAATAGAAAGTTTTTTTGATTTTCTTAATTTTTAATAAAACCTTGGACCTACAGGTTTTAAAAAATATTAATAAAGTTAAGTTTCTAAACTGAAATTTGAAAGGTTCTTCTATTTAAATATTATTGTTAATACTTATTCTCATAAAATCTTAAGCTGAAAGGTCTTACAGTTTTAGTGATAGGCTGTAATAAACCATGTTGGAATATCAGCTAAGCCCAAAGTAAGTTAAAAAAAGCCTTGTCCTCTGCCTTGCCTCTTTCTCCTTGGTTGAGAAAGACCGTTGTCGGAGCTCGAGCATGGATTAGAAGAGACAGCTTGCTGACGGGGCGGACGTATTCGCCGGTGGCAGTCCGGATGGTGGCGGCTAGTACGAGTCCGTCGGGGCCAGGATGGATGGAAATGATGCGGCCGATCGGCCAAGCACCACTGGATTAAAGGAGCGTTTTGTCTATTAGGGTGACGACATCGTCAACCTTGAAGTTTCGACGCGGGACCCTCCACTTGGACCGTTGTTGGAGCATGTTTAAATACTCGCGACTCCAGCGGCCCCAGAATTAACTTCGGATGCCGCGGACAAGTTTCCAGTGGGCCAAGCAATCGAGCATGTCAGACGTAGAGCTGGCATCGATGACAGAGTTTAAAGTGTCGCCGAGAAGAAAATGTCCGGGAGTGAGCACGTCAAGGTCGTCGGGGCATCCGATCAACGGGGTGAGAGGGCGGCTATTGAGGACCGCCTCGATACTGGTGAGCACCGTGGAAAATTCCTCATAGGTGAGGTTCCACGGCCCGACGGCACGGCGAAGATGATGCTTCATGGATTTGACACCGGCCTCCCACAGTCCGCCAAAGTGTGGTGCTCAAGGAGGAATAAAGTGCCACGTGATTCCTTGGTCCACCAGCGAGCCAGTGATGCGCTTCCACTGCAACTCTGCCTCCTGGAGAGCTTCTAGCAGTTCTCGATCGGTGGCGCGAAAGCAGGTGGCGTTGTCACTCCAGACTTCGGATGGCCGGTCACGTCTGGCGCAAAATCTGGTCAGTGCGCCGATGAAAGACTCAGTAGAGAGGTCACCAACGAGCTCGAGATGAGCTGCTTTTGTAGTCAAGTATATGAACACAGTGACGTAGCCCTTGCTCGTGCGGATGCCTCGGCCCTTAGCGCTGAGGATATTGAACGGGCCGGCATAGTCGACGCCAGTACGGGAGAAAGCACGAGCGGGAGTGATTCGAGCTGCTGGCAAAGGCGCCATGTGTTGCGTGGTGGGCCGAGCCTGTAACCGAGCGCAAACGACACACTTGTTCAACAGGCTCTTGAGTCGTCGCCGCCCGCCAATGATCCAGGCTTTGCAAGAGACGTACGCGCTGGTGAGTTGAACTCCTCCATGAAGCGCTCCAGCGTGAGCCCAACGGATGACCAACTAAGTAAGCGAGCACTGTCCGTCAAGAATCGGGGGGTGTCGCTCGTCGAAGCTGAGAGCGGAGTACTGGAGGCGACCGCCATCTCGAATGACATCGTTGACTACCATAGGATCCAGAGGCAGCAGCGGGTTCTTTGCGGTCACGTGGCCTTCTTTCTGCAAGCTCTTGAACTCGAGAGCGAAAGTCTGCCACTGGCTGAGACGGGCGAGATAGGCGTCGCGCAGCTCGATGGCAGTCAAGGGCGCAAGGACCGGAAGAGTAGGATCACGACGTGTCTTATGACGGATTAATCTACGTAGCCGAGCAACAAAACGCAGAAGTCGATCCAGATCCGAAAATAGATCAACAAAACTTGCAGCGACAAGTCAAGTGGCGCAACAGGTGTGGGCGATCTCCTCAGAGGTGGGTTCGGCAGGGCTCGAGAGGCTCGTAACTTTGACTGGCCATGAATCTGTGGGTTTTTGCGAGGGCAGAATTGCTTGAGTGTGGGCCACGTAATTGTCGACTAACGAGTTTTTGGTAGGTTCTGCTGACCGAAGCCAGTAGAGCACGATTTGGGAATCGCTTCAGGCGTGGCAACACTCGAAACTCACGGCGTACTCTTCGGCGTACAGGGCAGCTCGCAGCTCTAATCGAGGGATGGTCATGCGCGCTGAACGAAAAGCATTGGGCTGCAAGCTCTTGGTGGTGTTTAATTTGGTGCGGAATATCAAGACGCGCACTCGGACGCCCTTGACCGGATCATCAACGCGCGATTAGACGAGGGCTGCCATCGTTCAACGACTGGCATCTGCAAATGCGTGGAGCTGCAGAGTAGCCGAAGGGTGATAACCGATCTAGCGAGGAATGGTAAGTACGGAGACGTTCTGCAGCTGGCTCAGAAATGCGTGCCATCGATGAGTTATAAATGTTGGCACAGCCCCATCCCAGTCCAGTCACGCACGCCAGAGATCTTGGATGATCAGCTTGGCGACGAGGATGTCAGGCGCGATCCACCCGCAGGGATCGAATAGTTTGGCAAGGGCTGCCAGCATGGTGTGCTTCGTCTGCTGTGGCTGTATGGCAGGTGGAGTGAGGTTAAAACAATCACCGATGGGGTCCCAGCTGACGCCAAGCTCGCTAACAAGGCCGTCCACTCTCAGCCGTCACCAAGATGGCCTGGACCAGGAGTCCACGGGGAGATCACGCAGGAGCTTTGGCTCATTCGTGACCCATTTCTTGAGAGGGAATCGGCCAGCTCTCAGCAGGCCGATCAGCTGATCGCAACAGAGTCACGCAGTCTGCACGTCGTCAGCACCTGCGAGGACGTCGTCGACATAGCGATCGCTCTTGAAAATCGGGCCACGCGTGACCTTCGTCTTCGCAAAGCTGCAGAATCCTGCGCAGAGAGATAAGGAGCACTGGCCTCGCCGTAAGTCACGGTAAGCAGCTGAAAATGCTGTGGTGGGCTTGACTCGTCCATGCTCCATAGAATCCGTTGGAGATCCACGTCACGTTCATCGACAAGTATTTGCCGAAACATCATCTGGATGTCCGCACAAAAAGCTACTCGGTGCCTTCTCCAACGCAGCAAAACGCTTGGCAGGCAGGTTTTCAGCTTTGGTCCAGCATGCAGTGCATCGTTGAGGCTGTAGCCCGTTGAAGTCGGTCGTGATGCATTGAAGACGACGTACAGTCTTCTTTGTCGGTCGCCGGCTTGCCAGATGCCGTGATGCGGGATGTAGTGCACTGGCCCAGGGGACGCGCGCAGCTTGGCGTCGGTCAGTGGCCGCATGTGCTCATAGCGAAGATACTCGTCCGTAAAGAGGACGTACTCAGCAGCCATCTCGGGGTCGTGTTGCAGTTTGCGCTGTAAAGATTGGAGGGACACCGTCGCACTGGGCAAACTCTCTCCGAGCAGCTTGGTCCCGCTGCGCTTCAGTGGAAGGCGGACGATGCAGCGTCCGTCAGCAGCTCGGCGATGATGAGCGAAAAATGTCTTGCACTCGGCGTCATCAGGTGACTGACGGACTACTCGGGGTACGTCTTCAAGGTCCCAAAACCGCTGCATCAACGCTACCAACTGATCATGCCAGGGCAGGGTGCCGGCATCTTGCGTCGTAAGGCAAGTGGCGATCGGGAGGGGCGATGGGGTGACTAGACACCCGACCGTTCAAAGTCCAGCCCGTGACAGTGAGCTGCCCGATGAGATTTCCCCGGAGCAGAAGCCCTGGCCGCAGCAGGTGAGAGTACACGTCGGCGCCGAGAAGTATGTCCACATCACCCGGTGACCCAAAGTTTGGGTCCGAGAGGTCTGGTAGGTCACGCCACAAATCTATGACCACTGGGGGCAGCGGTGCCGAAGGAGTGAAGAGTCCTAATCGAGGTAGGCAGTGTGCAGTCAGCTGCAACGCCCATGCCGAGTTCCGGGTTTGCACCTGTAGCTGTGCAATTATCGGCGAGCGCGTTACGGAAACTCCGCTGGCGCCCAAGATGTTAGTGGCAGTTGGCTCGAGACGAACACCGAGCTTTCGAGCGAGTCTGGTGGATGTGATCGAGATTTCCGAGCAGGCGTTGACTAGCGCCCTGATGGTGATTTTCCGCTCTCGGGTCCCCTATATCTGGACCGTGATCGTTGGAAGAACGGCTAGTCACAGCTGCGAGTCGACCGCCAGGTCGATGCTCTTCTTGGAATCTGTGGTGAGTCGTGCTCGCTGGGCCTAAACGCTTGTTGACTCGAGGTCGGCCTTGCGTTAACGGCTGCCGTTGTGAATCAAGCTATGATGTCTCTCGCTGCAGTGCTGACATACACCTTGGGATGGGCAGGAGTGAGCTATGTGGCCTGACCTCAAGCAGTTGAAGCACAGCTTCGATTGAGCAACGAGAGCCTGGCGTGCTGTCTCATCCAGCTGAAGAAAACGACTGCAATGGCCGATGTAATAAGGAGCATGGCAAGCAGAGCAGTCAGCTTCAGCCGCCTGTGTGGCGAGAGTCCTGTAGTTGCGGCCGATCAGTGCTGGCCCGGCAGGGCGGCCACTCGTTGAACGTGAGCTTAATGAATCGCTCGCTGAGCGTAGGCTGTGCGAGGCGTCTACTGAGGTTAGAGAGCGGACACGCCTGCGCAGAAAGCTGGACTGGTTGGCAAATGTGGCTACTTCTCCAGGCGCCAAGGCAGCTGCATCCAGCTTCTCAAGCTCGTCCTTCCAGGCCCTCCGAGTCGATGAGTCCATGGCGGTGGAGGAAAAGGAGATTATCCACACGTCCCACTGTTCCACGGGCTGCTTCAGCACTTTTAGCTGGTCGCGGTGCTTCTCCAAGGTATCAAGCAGGCCCTGCAAATCGGCAGCAGACTCTTCTCTTAGAGTCTTGAGCGTCCTTAGTGCCGTGATGTGATCGTGCACGAGGAGGCGGTGGTGCTTGAATCGTGAAGTAAGGAGGCTCCAGGCGGTCGAATAGTTGGAGCCGACGAGCTGCAATGTATTCAACACTGCCTTTGCCTCACCTTGTACGTGCGACTTTAAATAATAAAGTCTCTCGACATCGGTGAGACGAGCGTCTTGATGGATGAGTGCTTGAAACAGGTCGAGAAATGACTGCCAATCTTCAAGACGGCCGGAAAAAAGCAGGATGTTGATGCTTGGCAGACGAGGGACGGCGTGAGGCCCAAGGAGAAGGGGCGGTCCACCGGGTCCAGGACAAGGAGTCAGCCCACTTTTGGCATTATAAAGGCACGCCTTAGCGCTGAGGTAGTGTCCCTCTCCAGATAAGTACAGGACTCTGAGGGAAGCAACTTTGTCCTCAGGTGCACCCGGAATCAAGTCGCGATGATTAGCTTGGAAGTCGTTCTAGTAGCTATTAATCAACTCTGCCCTAGCGTCGACAAGCCCCATGCTCCAGACTTCGATGCCCCTGGCTGATTGAGTAAACTGATACAAAACATCGAGGAGAGCATGCTGCGTCGCAAGCAGATCAGACCAGCCTTGATGTGCCCTGCGAATTTAAAGCACAATGAGCTCGACGCTTACCGCTTCAACCGGAGCCTTGTCACCCGCGATGCATTCAGCATTCGTGCGCGCCGTGAAGAGTTTGAGACCTGAGGGAGGAAGAAAAGCTGGCGTGGGCCCGGCAATCAGCTAAAGTTCGGACGTGAGGCAGCATGTGATCTGCAACACGTTCGCTTCATGACAACTTCTCGAGCTGCGTGATCGCAATCACGTGCGAGGCCCGCGACGCAGACCACGTGGCAGTTGCGGTGGACATCTAGTCATCTCTCACCTTTGCGACAGCTTCTCGAGCTGTATCATCGCGATAACGTGCGAGGACCACGACGCAGACTGCACAGCAGTTGCGGCTAATTTCTGGGCATCTCTCACCCTCCCATCGCGTGGAGGTTCACCTAACCTCGATCTCTCATGGCGCGACTCTGTCTAAATGCATGGTTTTACTTACATTTCTGGGAATAGCCAGCTATCCTAGCTGCTCTGAATCCGGCTCGAAGAACCAGTATTTGATTAAACTCCTTTATTCACTTCGAACAAGCACAAAAAACCTAAGAGAGAGGCACACGGATTATATAGGAGATTTATATGTATATATAGCAGGTGTCGTTGCGTTGAGAGCCTTGTCCTCTGCCTTCTCTTTTCCTCGTAGAGCGAGAAAGACAGTTGTCGGAGCTCGAGNATATGTCGATGGAAGGTGTCGTTGCGTTGAGAGCCTTGTTCTCTGCCTTGCCTCTTTCTTCTTGGTCAAGAAAGACCGTTGTCGGAGCTCGAGCATGGATTCGGCGGCGCCGCTGGTGTCCGTCTAATGAATGCAGAGAGGGCGTGAGAAACGAATTCCGCACAACACTTTTTATTTTACAAGTCCTTACGACTTGATACTTTACTATTCTGATCAAGTTTGTCAGCTTTCATATTTTAATATTATAACATTATTTAATAGATCCGTTAATTTTTAACACTAATATCCAAAGAAACGTTTTTATGCTACCTATAATTTAACTGGTAGGTAGCAAGAGAAGCAATTAAAAAATTTAAAGCTTGAACACCGACAAAGAAGCGCAGAAAACTTGTTTTGCTAATATCTTGTATACGGTGAGAAGTCGGATAAAAATAAAAATTCCATCGTGTAGGGCGAAAAATTGCCACCTGATTTAATATTTTTACTTTTATTTGCAGTAAAACTAAGTTTTTCGATAAAAATTTAATAAAGTTGGTTTTCCCAGATGTGTTAGTGAGTGAAACAGAGAGTATGTCGAAAGCAGTTGTGTATGCCTGGACAAGTATGTTACTAAGTGTGTCATCACATGGCAATGTGTACAGGTATAGATTTACTTGACGATATGAGTAGTTTCGTTATTAATTTATATCTAACAAATGTGTGCTAGTCTTAATGAGATATGGTCATAAAACTTGAAAATGTAGATAAAAACCTATAAACAATTTGTGATTCTACTTATCTCAAAAGAAATACTACTTTCCAATCAACTACTACAATTAAAAAATTATTGTTAATATTATAATTACTTCTCAGTAATTGATATTTTTTTTTAATAACAGTCTTGTTGTTGCAAGATTTTGTTGCTAGTGACTGTAATATCCATGTAACTACATTGGAATCCGATGATTTGATGAATGAATGTCTTTTAAATATAGCAGCGTAAGAAGCAAACAATATTAACCTAACAGCATTAACATTGAACCCTTACATTACACACAGCTGACACAGCAGTAAAATATCAGACTCTCTTGCGCACGCGTAGATGTATCCATGTATGTAGCTATACTGACGGTACCTTACTGTATACACACACGCAAGCACGCACACACACACACACATACACACACACACACATATATGTGTGTGTGTGTGTGTTTGTGTGTGCGTGCTTGCGTCTTCCTATAATTAATGGCCTCTTGGCTAGGCTTCGTTCCAGGAAAAGGGAGTGAGTGGTCTTAGGGACAGATTGGCAGTGCTGTGCCATCGTTGCTGTCGTTGGTGGTTGGGGCACCAGTTTGGTAGTCGGAACGTCTAGACTTACTAGTGTGCCAGGGGGCCTATCGAAGCAACAAACGCGCGTGAGCTGGCGTGAGAGCGCGCGGTGAGTGAGCGAACGAAAGAGGGAGAAAAATAACAGTTGTGTTGAGAACTATTGATGGCAGGCATCGGGGCATTCGGGGCAAGTCAGGCGTCAGGCCGCCCGTACATTACATATTACCTACATTTACATCATAAATACCTATAGTACACTGCATGGCGCACATGTACAGGGCACCTTCCTGCCAGGAAATTCAAAGGTTATATTTTTAAGTACTCGTTACCAGCTTATATTAGAGCTATCTAGCCAACCGAGTGTAACCCAACAACTCAAATATATAATGCTGAAAATTGTCGTAAGCAGTGAAGAATTAATTTATGGTTAAAGTTATATCATTCGATACTGCAGACTACATAGACTGTACGATAGTCTCTTAATCTAATTGTCGTGGAGAAAAGAATTTGACGAATTCCTTAAGTGAGAAATAAATAGTAAATAATAAATAAGCTATTATTCTAACCAAAGCTACGAATGTTGCTGGATCTTGCGACCTACTATCCGTGTACTATACTGCTTAGAAAATAGCTCGTGGATTGTTTATTTACGTGTCTGTTAACATTGCTAGCGTTATTATCTTTTGGTTCGTAACTATGTTTTAAAGTATTGCAATATCCACTTACTTCTTAGAATTAATATTCGTAAATTTTTACAACTGTTTTATATAGTAACTAGCTGATTTTTAAGATTTTTTTACAAAACAGTTTTATTATGTTTTAGAAAAAAAACTTCTTACAAATAACGTAATAATTAAAAGGAAATATTAATTCGTCAATCCCTCTTGTACCACAAACAATAAACTATAACACAAAAATTTAATTTAAAAGTTTAATTTTTCTTTTTCCTTGTGCAAAATATAATTGGATTTAATCGTACCACATTGTACCACAAACCATAAACAATAAATTGTTATACAAAAATTTAGTTAAAAATTTTCTTTTTCTTTTTCCTTATGCAAAATACAATTGGGTTAATTCTCGACGAATTCTTAAACCTTCTGCGTAATTATCAGGGAGTCTAGCATCTTCGTCGTCATCATCGCCATCGTCTTCAGGTACATCAATTATTATGTGATTATTATTATCACGTTCAGCGGGTACGTTTACTCTGAAAAATAAATAGTAATAAATTTCTATGATGTTGCTGCACTGCGTTATTTAATTTTTAATTATAGTATCTCTTACTCATTTCGTCGAACATAGTTATGTAAAATAGCAGTGGTGGTCACAAAGACTGCTGCCGTCCGTGGGGTGTAGTGGAATACCCTATCTGATAGGATGCATCTCCACTTATTCTTCAAAATTCCAAAAGTCCGCTCAATATTACTTCTGGCAGATTTGAAGGTCAGGTTAAATCTACTTTCTCGTGTATTTGAATCCGTTATAAGATACGGAGTCATTAAAATTGGAGATAATGTATAGCCTCCGTCACCTACGTATACGAACATTCTTATGTATATTTATATATATATACATTTATATTTATACATTTTTTATGTGTATATAGAAAACAGTAGACTTTATCAGTATAATATTAAAGTGCTTATACACACACAAATTAGGATGTCCGTTATTTACCACAATTAATGTTTTTATCTACCCAATTAAATCTTTTCAGTATATATCCCAAATCAATATGTGTGCCAAAACTAATCAAAAATTCTTTTTCCATTTAATTAGTCCCATCTTAATAGGATTATAATTTTTTAACATTCTTGTACCTTACCATAAATTATACTCACGTTAAATAGATAAATTATATTTTTCAGGTAATAATAAGCAAGCTGAAAAAATGTTATTTTTTGGATTTTTGTTGTTTGAAGACTTTGGAGACAAAAATGTAATTTTTCAAAGTAGCTTGACTATTTAACTGGAACTATTAATTAATGAAGTCCAAGTAATGTCAAATCCAATAGTATAATTTACAAATGAAGGAAAACAACCCTAAAGTGAAAAAAATATAAGTTAAAGTTTGGAATTTCTATATTATTTAAATTGAATTATTTTAATTAAATAAATTTTTTGGTTGCATTATTACTGTATGCGATGTAATTCTGATATGACATAAGATGGACAATCAAAAAATTAAATTTTATAAGTAATGGACACCCCAATATACATACGTATGAATCTAAAGTCAACAAATTTCAAATCCTAACTCAGTCCCTACAGACTACTTAATTCCAAGAAAACGTACCATGAGATTTATTTGAAGGAAATGTGTCACTTAATTCGTGACAAGTTTTGGTCCTTACGATATCTTAGTATCATACACGTTTTAAATAACCATTTAATTCAGTCATTCACGATCATCTTACACCCTTTGTTTACAACAACTAAAGCGATTCATTATTTACGCAATCCCTATTAAAATACTATGGATTTTAATGCTGTATATATTTACTGATTGTATAATTTGTAATATAATTTAAATTCCTTGCTGAGAATATATGCACAGTAGTTCAGCTTTCTTGCGCATAACATATACAATTGGAGCTCTTTGTTGGCTCAGTGGTTAGCGTGCTTGCCACCAAAACAACACTGCTCAACGGGTTGTGGGTTCGATTCTCAGTTGAGACGCTCAGATTTCTTCTGATGGTCTTTAATACCGGAATCAAATTCATGACACCAACTTGGGACTTAAATTTAGTTTTCAGTTTAAAAACCCCTCTGTACCCAACGCTAAACGTAACAAGAAATGCATGTAAAATAATGTTATTTTGTGATACCAGAAACAAGGCTATATGTATTCGGATTACAATGCAGCCTTAAAATAAATACACTCCTTAAGTAAAAAAAATATACATATGTTTTTACACAATTGTTTACCAAGTTTAATAAATAATCCACAATTCTTCATGTACCTTTATTTTCTGCGTAATTTGTGATTAGTTACAACTCACCTACTTTACATTATAAATCAAGTATCACGTTAATAATATTTATACCAATAAAAAAGTACGTTCCCTCTTGGTCCACAATATCTTCAGTGTTTCTTAACTGATAAATATCCTCCCTCATCTCACTCCATTTCCAAATAAAGCGGTCATTCATTATACTATTTTCCGTATCACATACCTCTTAAAGAACGGTCAAATAATTATTTCCGTATGTGTTCTTATAAATTTAAATTGTCAAATATACAACATCCGATTCTAAAGTGGACTTACCATCTGCACATTCAATGAATGGTATCTTTTTTAGTTTATGTATGCTTCTTCATGATCTGCCGGTGTTACAATTTTTACTAACGTGCAGTCAATGGCACCAAGTACTCCAGGAAATCCAATAGTTTCCTCAAAGCTAGCCGACGCATTTTCACGTAAAAGAAATAAAACCAATTAGTGTGCCTTATTTTTTACGTAGATTTTATCCTATTATATGTATTACATATCAGTTATACGTCCTTAAATACCTTTGAGATTTTGCTAGGCGTTCCTCTAATGTAGCTGGAAATCGTATTAGGTGAGACAAGTTTTGAATAATTGCCTGACACACGATGTGAAGATATTTACAGAAAGTCACTTGGCTCATCGGATGGTACATATCTATACTACAACGTTTCTGATAGCTTCCTTCGGCAAGGAATCGAATGTAACTTAAAACATGTATTTGCGGTAGAATTCCTTCAGGATGGTATGGTTAATTCCGAGTAATAATTTCTAGTAAATCAAACGCCCTGAATTTGTCCATTCGACGAAAAAAAAAAAAAATTAATACGTATGTAATAGAATTATCAATTTATCATGATACTACAAATAATACTTTCTTAAAATTTTGACACACAGGATTTAATCTTTTCATACATAGGGTTTCGTAATATAGACTAAAGAACATTAATGCACAATATAAAAAGGAAGTCATTTCAATGTTGGTTACATTAAAACGTACCTGTAATGGTTATAAAAATCACCGTTGTTTAGTAAAAACACATTGCTTGTATCTCTTAGGATACGCTTTCTCAGCATTTCGAATCTCCTTAGTCTGTTCACTTCATACTGATTTACAGCAACGCGAGCAGCATTACCCATTACATTTCCTATTTCCGGTATTTATCAATTAGCAGTATCTGATGGAAAAAATTAAAAGCATGTTAGTATTGCGCACTAATTTTGTCTGCAAAAGACTAATTTGTTTCTATAGATATTAATGGTATACTTCATTTTCGATAGATTTTTATATTGGTTAAATACAAATTACTTGTTACAAAAGTTACTGCGTTATTCATTAAATGGGAGCTCTTGCTCGTGGCTGGCTATTTCCACCCCATCATGTAGTCACGGCGTAACAATTTGCATATTAGATTCTTCAGTACAAGGGGAAAAAAAGTGGGAAATACAACTATAGATCACTCATTTAAAACAAATCCCTTTTTTTTCTTTGCGACTTTTTAATCGGTCCGTTTAAACTTAGGCTTTGTTTATTCTTTGTAATGTTCAAAATTTTTGTCAATAGTTTTTTTCCTGATAACTCATGCTTTTCATTTAATAAAAAAATGTAGCTAGCGGTAAAATTTAATCGATCTCATCGGTAAAGTAGAAAACTTCAAATATTTAAAAAGAGGTTTGCAAGTATTGTGTTGTAGCCCTATGATCGGGATCTCAAGGATTCCTTTTCAACGACTTGAATTACAGAAATGAGGCTGAAGGTCATGACTGGTGTTTAAAGTTTTTACCATGTCGTGCAATAAAGATAAGTATGTCTATATTAATAGTGTTACACCGAAACAATACACCATTTCGAGAGTAGGAATAATACATGTAATATGTGTGTTGTGCTTGATTTGCAGAAAACGGTTGACACCAAATAACAGGCAAAAGCAAGCTTTAAAGAACTTGATAGAAAAAAATCCAGTACTGGAAGAGTGGAAAACAGATGTTGGCTATTAATTATGGGTTGAAGCAGCAAAAGTCTTGAATTAATCAGGCCCTCTGGTTAGAACAACACAACCATAGATTAGGGTGATTTCAAATTTTTTGTACGTACCAGATTCAATTTTTAAACTTTTATAGAATTACATAAAAAATGCTTTTTAAGACTTACATGGACAGTGCTCTAGTTAAACATTCACCGGCTCAGAAAGGTATATAATAACTAAAAACCTACAATAACAGATATAATAACAAAAATGACAGAACCAGAATGCTGTTTTATTAGTGCTAACAGTAGTTGAGATATATTTTTTCTTAGATTTGCAGTTAAAAACAGTGAGGTGCACTGGAACACTGAGTAATTCAAAAGTTTCTGTATTACTGGCAGGAAAAAATACTCATGTTGATTCATCACAACAGTCAAGTAATGAAAAACCCATAATTATTATGAATTCAACTTGCATCTTCATACTTTCACATATAACAATTGCTGTACTTTTGACAGATACGTGGTCAATACCAATTAAATCCGTAGCATCATAGAGTATAGCTGACTTCAAGCTCACCGTAAAAATTGAAGACATTTTGAAAGCAATCAATATGCTTGTCATGGAGACTGTGTCATGCATGTCCGTTATAACGCACAATGAAAGTGAACGGAAGATTGGCTTTAAAAATACAGTTCAAATTATCAATGATACTCTACTTGATTTAACTCAATGTAAGTTTTGATGATTTGAGGTTTTCCAATTTCATAAGAGAATATTGTTAACGTGTATTTGTATTAATGATTATACGTTATTCATATTTCCATTCTGTCAGGTTCGAATAATACATGGAGTACAGACATGTTTCATAGCTTGGTTCAACTTAAGGATTCTGTAGTAAGTCGTAATGAAGATAGTGAAGAAAAAGAAGACAAAATAAAAAAAATTTTACAAACAGTTTGTAACGCTTTTGAAAAATTATCAATAAATTTATATTTACTATTCATTACAACATATGATTTAAGACCTTTATTTTTTAAATTTACACGTTAAATAACTCTTAGAACATTGTTAATATAATTCAATATCATTAAACTGTTTCAAGAGAATATATATATTACTGCATATTGAAAATTTTTCAATCACTCTTTTACTTCTCAATCACTTTTGTTCTATCATCGTCAGGTTCTTTAATATTTTACTTCAGGTGTCTTAATAACGCTTCCCTGTTGAAAAATCTCACCTGAGATCTCACGTGAGAAAATTTTTCATGCCAAAATCTCACCTGAGAAATTATTTTTTTCCATAAAGTCTGTTTAATATTTATTTTCTGCTTTCTAAAGTGCCTTATGGGTAGTGTGATCTGTATTATACGTTTTAACACACGTTTTAAAGCATTTTTTTTGTATTCTAAATATTTTAAATACTTTTCTTATTTTTTTGAAGTAGACAAAAATACTTAAAAACGCGTGTGTTTTTACGGTATTATGTAGATAACATTAGTTTCTTATTTAAAGCATTTTTTTTGTATTCTAAATATTTTAAATACTTTTCTTATTTTTTTGAAGTAGACAAAAATACTTAAAAACGGGTGTTTTTACGGTATTATGCAGATATTATTTATTATAAGGCGCACCAAAAAGCAGAAAATTAACATTAAACAGACTTTACAGAAAGAAATAATTTCTCCAGTGCGATTTTGGCATGAGAAAATTTCTCAGGTTAGATCTCAGGTAAAGTTTTTCAGCAAGGTTACCTATGAATTATATTTACTTTTATACTTATATGATGTATCTTGATTTAATACTGTCCTCATTTTCCAAAGCAAAACAAGACGATATAATCCTAGGAATTGGTAATAATAAGAAAAAAAATAATAGTAGTTTTATGGAGTCTCGTGGAAGTCACTCCGGTACTTCTTACATAAAACATCAACAAAATGCAAACTAAATCAAATTCAATATTTGTGTTAATACTGACCCAAAGATAAGACATTATATTTCAACTTAAAGCTTTCTTCAGAGGACAGTGTTCCTACCTGACGAGAAAATCAAAGTCGTCACTCATGTGCATCTGACCACGGCAGTTCTAATCATTATACGTTGATCGTCTTAAATTTTCACAAATGTTAAAACACTTAGCTAAAATTTTAATATGTTGTAGAAAATGTATCAATACATATGCTTGAATTTTGTAGATTTTTCAAGCTGTAGAAAGTAGTGAAAACAAATGCTGGTAATTTACGAAAATAAAATCTGGTTCGCATTTTCATCTGTAATTTACTCAAATGTTAAACCACTTAGCTAAAATTTTAACATGTTGTAGAAAATGTACCATTACATGTGCTTGAATTTTTGTAGATTTTTCAAGCTGTCGGAAGTAGTGAAAACAAATGCTGGTAATGGAAATTCAAAGTGATCAGTGATCCATTGGGGGCGAAATGTGAGAAAATAAATAAATACAAGTGTATTTAAATTTTCTTGCGTTGATTCATTGATGCGAAACGTTTCACTGACAATATGCGTTAGCCTCATCAGGCAACAAAATTAAAATTAAAAACACACAATGAGTGATCTGGAAGGCTCAAACACAAAATACAATAAATTTTGATGTAAATTGTTACCGCAGGTACGCGAGAATTCGTAAGTTTGGTTGACTTACTCGTCACCTGTCGTGCTATCGACTGACAATAAATTACAACAACAAGCCAGCGCTTATATAGGCGGAGCCGCAAAGGTAGACGGTAAAGGGCGATGAACTTGATCGGGACATTTAAACTTTCGTAGTAAAGGAAGGTATGCTCTATTGAAGGGAAGCACATCCTCCTTTCTATTGTTGTTGTGTTAGTCAAGTTTTATATAAAGCATTTCGGAAATAATTCTTTTTTTGTAATTGGATTCTTTGTCAAGGATTTTAAAGTTATCCCAAAAGATCACATTGCGTCATTAAAATTAGACTACAATATTCGTAAACGACATTATAAATTTGTCAACATCAAACAAAATACCATCTATAGAAGATCAAATCATACGTTACATAAAAAATTTTAAAAAATCTTACCGAAAACAAACACCACAATCAGTAATAATGATTCAATACACAATTTAACGAATATAGCCATTCCTAAAGATGTCAAATTATCAAAAACCTAGAAGTTGTTCTCTCACACCTTGATACGAACGATTGAGTAAAGACCGAAATCCGTGACAATGTATCTCAATATTTAGTTAATGCTTGTAAACAAAAGCCAGCTTTTTCTAGAAAGGACCGCCAATATTCAAAAAATTTAAAATCAACAAAAAATTTTTTAAACAAAAATCCCGATATATTTTTTACCTCTGCTGACAAAGGCAACGTTACGGTTTGTCTCAAAAAAAGTGACTATTTGGAAAGAATGCATAATTTACTGTCTGATAAATCGACGTATAAAATTATTTCGAAAAACCCATTAAACTCTC